TCAGATCCATTTTTTTTTATATAACTAAAATCCATTGGATCCATCGGATCCATCAGATCCATTTTTTTATATAACTAAAATCCATTGGATCCATCGGATCCATTTTTTTTTATATAACTAAAATCCATTGGATCCATCGGATCCATGATATCCATCGGATCCATCAGATCCATTTTTTTATATAACTAAAATCCATTGGATCCATTTTTTTTTATATAACTAAAATCCATTGGATCCATCGGATCCATGATATCCATCGGATCCATCAGATCCATTTTTTTTTATATAACTAAAATCCATCGGATCCATCAGATCCATCGTATTTTATATAACTAAAATCCATTGGATCCATCGGATCCATGATATCCATCGGATCCATTTTTTTTTATATAACTAAAACCATTGGATCCATCGGATCCATGATATCCATCGGATCCATCAGATCCATTTTTTTTTATATAACTAAAATCCATTGGATCCATCAGATCCATGATATCCATCGGATCCATCAGATCCATTTTTTTTATATAACTAAAATCCATGGGATCCATCGGATCCATTTTTTTTTATATAACTAAAATCCATTGGATCCATCGGATCCATGATATCCATCGGATCCATTTTTTTTTACATAACTAAAACCATTGGATCCATCGGATCCATGATATCCATCAGATCCATTTTTTTTTATATAACTAAAATCCATTGGATCCATCGGATCCATGATATCCATCGGATCCATCAGATCCATTTTTTTTTATATAACTAAAATCCATTGGATCCATCGGATCCATGATATCCATCGGATCCATCAGATCCATTTTTTTTTATATAACTAAAATCCATTGGATCCATCGGATCCATTTTTTTTTATATAACTAAAATCCATTGGATCCATTTTTTTTTTAATAATAAATTCAGTGTTTTGGGATTTGAACCCACAAACCAAATAGTACTGTGACAATCCAGAAGGTGGTCTGTAAACATTGGCACAAGAGCTTGTTCGCCATGC